AAAAAAAAAAAAAAAAAAAAAAAAAAAAAAAAAGTTCTAATTTATCCACATCCTGCTACACTGGTTACCTTCTGGTGTGTGTGTGTGTGTGTGTGTGTGTGTTTGTGAGTGAGTGTGTGTAACATAATAGCCATTGTACTGGGCATGAAGTGGCATCGCATCAAGGTTTTAATCAACATGTCCCTTGTGATCAGTGACACGGAATCTCTTTTCATGTACTGTTGGCCACTTACAGACCTTTAGAGAAATGTCTCGTTAAGTCCTTTGGCCCATTTTTAATTGGGTCATTTTGTTGTTGTTGAGCCCTGACCCTTCCTGGCTGCCGTGCAGTATTCCAAATCACAGAGACACAGTTTTCTGTCAATCCGTCCTCCGTGGATGGATATTCCAGTCGTTTCCAGTTGTGTGCTGTTCAGAAAATGCCACCGTGGATTTTCTTCTACATGACTTCTTGTGCGTACATTTGAGCATACTAAGGATAAATTTCTCACAGCGGGGACTGATGAGTTAAAGGTGAGGTGAATTTATCATTCAGCCAGCTACTGTCCGACTGCCTTTGGGTGTGGATATACCTACTTTTATTCTCACCAGGTGTGTAAAAGAGGAAGGCATACCTTCAGAACTCACACATATGTTCTCAGCGTTGCACCAAAGATTTTGTCTTCCTTGGGGGCGCTAATCTGACATTTCCTAACACCACTTAAAACACTGGCCTCGCACTACCCTGTTAGGGGATTTGCAGCTTAATTGCATTTGTTCATAAAATCGAATTAATATCGTATAACCTGCCATCAACAGAACCAATTCTGACCCTGTGCCTTGACAAATCTATTTATGCTTTATGTTTTAAAATCCTCTGAAAGCCAAAAGAGCTGCTCTTTGAATACCATTAAACCGATATCAGAAATCAGACTCAATTGCAATGTTTCTGCCAATCTTCCCAGAGAACATAAAATTTATTTTTCTCAATTCTTTCCCAGAGGTATAGCCATGAAAATTCATGACTGGAAATTCTTTTTCTCTTACCAAGAGTCTCTAAGAAGGTAATGGAACAACTCACACATCACATACAACCTTAACTCAGCCTGCTTATCCCAGAGCGTGGGTGGGTTTAGAGACAAACCGCACCACACACTCCTCCAACTTTAATCAAGAAAGAGACTGAAAATTGTTTGGAGCAAATCAGGGCCCAATTAAAGAGATAAACAGATCCTAACCACGTTAACTACATTATATTAATATATGTTCATAATTAACTTCACCAGTCACAGTTTTCAAGAAAAAGGGGGATTCTTCTTAGGGGGAGAAAAGCCTCGTAAATGAACTCACTTATAAATAAACTCAGGACAGAAAATCCTATGTGCTCTGCACAGCGGCCGATGCAATATTTATACTAACTGATAATAAAGACATATGCCAAATAAAACATGGTGTGCGGGGCGAACGGACGAGACACACTTAATCAAGATATATTAAAACCACAGTAAATACACATTAGCTTTAGACCGTGCTGATGCAGAGGCGGGTTTACATAAATAGCAGCTCCCTCCTCCTTTCTTGCAGGAAGCTTGGAGTTTGCCTATCTGATTGGAGCTCTCACCCCGCACAGGAGTGCCATGTCACCTAGGCACAGCTTGGCACCTCTGGTGACAGCAGTTTCACTACCAAAAGGCGGTGATGCCAGGCCGTGTCTTACAGGGTGCCGAGTTGGATGCTTGTGGCTTGCTCCAGCTCTGTGGACCGTCAGGACCCCCTGGCTTCCTCCTCAGCCTCCTGAGATTCAGAGACACAGACTCTCCCAGGTGGCTCCAGCACAGAGCCACGTGTGGGGCCCGCTGCTCTGCACAGAGCATCCACTTGCCAGGTGTTGTGGTGCATGCTTACAATCCCAGGTACTTGGGAGGCTGAGGCAGGAGGACTTCATGTCATCCATACCACCTTTTAGGAAAAAGTGAATTCATTCATTCCCTCCTTCCTTCTGTCCTTCCTTCATCCACCCTGCTTCTCTCGAGCCTTCTGATGCTGGTGTACCAAGCTGGGCACCCTCCCTTCCCCCGCCCTCTTGCTTGACCATGCTTGGTGTCTACCTGGGAATGTGTCCCCACATCCCCACACCCTGCTGCTGGAGCAGGAAGGAGCTGCCTGACCCACCCACAGATGCTCACCGCTCCCTCACCCAGCGGAGCCTTCCTGGAGATGTGCACAGCGGGCAGGATCCAAGATTGGAGTCCCAGTGGGCAGTGCAGGCCATCACCAGCAGGGGGCACTCATGCACTACTACTGCTTTCTCACCTAGCCGCGGCCTGACTGGATGGTGTGGATGACCACGGGATTGCTGAGGGAAAACAAGGGCTTGAGAGAGACCTAATGGGATAAAGGACCCTCAAAGGTGGCCCTGTGTACCCAGGTTTAAAATAAGTCCTCCCCTTTACCAGGTTCAACAGATGTGACCAGCCGGAGACGGCAGCCATCAGTTAAACACTCCTGATACTGGCAAAGGGCAAGAGCAGCCCGTGTGCAATTGCAAAGCCAGCCGTGAGCTCCAGATAGTGCAACTGACCCCAAACGCAGCCACCAGCTCACCTCTGCTGGTTCTTTCCAGGTAGAAGGGCTGGGAGCAGGATTGCAGGCCAGGGAGGCCTGGGAGGCCTGGGTCCTCCTGATTCCCACTCCAGCCAGGAAGTCTAGGCCTTTTCCAACTGCCCTTCACTGGCCCCCGGGCCTCAGTTTCCTCTTCTGTGAAATGGGGCTGACATCATTCCCACCCTGCTTGTCTCTCTTGCGGGGCACGGCCGGGAGAGCAGGCTGTAAGCAGCAGAAGGGTTGAAAGAAGGACAGGGGCTCTAGGACAGCGCCTGCCTGTGCCCTCTCCGGCTGCCCCTTCCTCCTTCGTTGTGTGCGTGGGTCTGTAATCCAGGAGCGTCGCCTGTGCCTTCCCAGGGCTGTAATTAGGTGCGGTGGTGACTCTTGTCTCATCCGCTGATGACTCCTCGCTAATTGCTCTAATCTGTGTTTTCATGGGCGCATGTGTACGGCGCACATGGCTCCCTCTCCCTGAAGACGAGCGGCCGGCTCCACAGAGGAGGGCAGCAAGAGCGGTGGCAGCCCGGGGCCTCGGGCCAGGCACCTGCTGTGTGGTGGAGCAGGAAACAGCAGACCCCACTGGGCTTGGGCCCTGAGCACTGGGGAAGGAAGTGAGGGTGGACTGGGGGCTCGCACAGAGGCAGGAGGCTAGGGACAGGCACCCGGCCACCTCCTGGCGGGGAAATCCAGGGCAGGTCTGTGGGAGTCGCCTTTGTGCACCTCCCATGTTTCTGTGGCTTCTTGGGGACAAGAAGGGTGATTTCTCCTGGTTTTGGGAGGACAAATCATTGTGTGTCTGTGTCTAGCCTGCTGTCTCGACTGTGTGCCCGTGGGCACAGGTGCGTAAGTGTGTGTGTGTGTGACCGTGTGTTACCCCCGCTGGCTCGCCTGGGTTTGCCTCTAGCCCTGTAGGAGTCCATGGTGAGCCTTTGGAACCCGCCTTGGGACAGAGGGGGCCCTGGTTTGCAGCTGGGGGTGCAGAGTGGGGGCACTGGCTAGA